TATATATATATATATATATATATATATATATATATATATATATATATATATATATATATATATATATATATATATATATATATATATATATATATATATATATATATATATATATATATATATATATATATATATATATATATATATACATTATAAATGATGTCAGTGATTTTTCCGGTTTATTTAATACCCTTCCCCTTTTATCAAACTTGTTTAACATCTTACCATTACCCCCATAAAAATGATATCGGTTTTTGTTAGTCCTTCCCCTTATATAGTATCTTAAACGCATCATACCTTCAATTTTTTTCTACTTCAATTTAGGGTTGTTCGCCAAAAAACCAAACTTGCGAATATTTCGCATCTTTATCTACCGTAATAAAATTGTATTTACGGAAGTTGCACATTCGAAAATGCACATTCCGTAACGTACTGAACTAAAATATAAACAAATAAAATTCCGTATTAACACATTACGAAAAGAAACATACGAAACAAATCATTTCGTAATAATACTTAAGAAATAGCTACGGAAGGAGCATTCCGGAATGTGCAGTTACGAAAAAGACGCAATAGATTTTATGTTGCAATATATTTACAATATATTTAAGATATTCACTGTTTACAGTTTAAATATTTAAATAGTAAATAATAAAATTATGTTTTTTGATTTGTATAACATGTTATACAAATCAAAAAATATAATTTTATTGTTTATTATTCAATTTAAAAAAAATGTTGTTGAATGATTCTTGAAGTATCTAGTATTTATACAAATATATCTACCATATATACATATATATATATATATATATATATATATATATATATATATATATATATATATATATACATATATATATATATATATAAATATATATATATAAATATATATATATATATATATATATATATATATATATATATATATATATATATATATATATATATATATATATATATATATATATATATATATATATATATATATATATATATATACAGACAGTAAAATCCCGGTAAGTTAGACTCTCAATGGGAATAGATAAATTGTACAATTTAGGTAATATCCGAGTTAAGCGAAGCTCTTGGTATTTATAGAACGTTCAAGGGGAAATTGAAACACTTTACGACTTAGTAAAAGTTCGAATTATCTACGGGCCAAGTTAATGGCTTTTTACTGTGTACATATTCCTCCCCATCATTCTTACTTTTAAAAGAAGCCTTGGCGCAGTAGTCTCCTTGTTTAATAAGTTAGAAATAACGTCAATCGTTACTTATTTTAACGAAAAGAGTTTCACGGTGCTAATTTTTTTCTTTCTAGTTTAATTCTTTTATTAATACACTAACACCTTTTTTTCAACCTTAGTAGTGAAAATACAATAAATTTATTAAATCCCTGCTATACGAGAATAATCATGTAGATCGCTATCGTTTGACATTAGGGTAAAATAAAAATCTTCAAAATGAAGGGACCAAAAGCTACATCTTTTAAAAGCGGGGGCTAAAGCTCCCCTCCGAGAAATATATTTATATAATAAATGACTTTTGGTCACTTATTGCCTTTTAGCAGAAATTAGGAATATTGGCAGAAATAAAGCAACCTTTTTTTTTACAAAGTCTATATTTCCACAAGTAAAAATCTTATTTTAAAAGTTCCCGTATATAACATTTTTTATTTAACTTCTCTTTGGCCGTTGTCAGTTCTCACCTAATTTGGCGTTGTCAGTTCTCACCTAATTTTGCTTCCTTTCAAACTAGCTAACGCTATTATACTTTCAGCACTTGCATAGTCCTGGTTAGATTCCATGTGATAATTGTTTTATAGGCGATATCCGGAGGAAGGGTTGTATAGTATTTTTTTACTACCCTCTTTCTTTTAACTTTTTTTTTATAAGAAAGGAAACCATTTTTTAACAAAAATTATTAAAAGTTTTCTTTAAAATTTCCTTTTTTGTCCCAAAATGGAAAGGGTAATGTTATTCAAGTTATCTTCTTCGTTTAATATTTGTTCATTGGATGCCATTTAAAAAGAGTATATTTCACGAAAGCCAAGGTTTATTTATAAAAGTTTGCAACTGACTCTTTTTATTATCATATAATAATTAGCCTTTTTCTTACGTAGTTGTTAATTATACGTAATGAGTTCATAAAACATCATTAAATATATTTATTATGAACCGTTTCATAAGTTTATTTCCGTTAAAAACTCTTTCTTTTGGTGCAGAATAGTTTCGTTTCGAGAAATTTTTTTTTTTTCTATAGTTATTTCTAAAAATAAGACCATAAAAATTTAATTTGTTATTATACAGAAAAAAAAAATTCATTATAAACAATTTGAGATTTAAAAATGCTAATTTTTAATATTAAAATTAGTCTGGCAAACAAACTTTTACCCAGCAAACAAAAAGATATCTAAAATGCATCTAATATGCATCTAAAAACTGGTCTAAAAGATGTCTAAATTCAGGTCTAGGACGGGACATAAATAGACGTCTATCTTATAGACGTCTTTTAGATGCATTTTATTCGACACAAATAATTGCCTTAGATGCATAAAAGATGTGAAATATACATCTTACAGATGCATATTTGATGTATAAAATACGTCTCTTAAATAGATGTCTAAGGCGCGTTTATAAAAGATTGATAATAGATAATTTTTTAGCTAATAATAGCTCTTTTATGCATCTAATATACATCTAATATACATCTTTAAATGTATATTTCACAACTTTTATGCATCTAAAGCATTTATTTGTGTCGAATAAAATGCATCTAAAAGACATCTATAAGATAAACATCTATTTATGTCCCGTTTACGACGTGAATCTAGACGTCTTTTAGACCAGTTTTTAGATGCATGTTAGATGCATTTTAGATATCTTTTTGTTTGCTGGGACTTGTTTGATACAGAGGTGTTGCAGCGGTTAAATTAGTCACAAAAAAGAGCAAAAACTTTTTTGATTTTGAAATTGCCGTTGCTAGGGGCGTAACTATGGAAAACATTTTCAGTACTTTGTTTAAAATTAAAAATATACCAACTTGTGCTCTGAATTTAGTTAAAACTATTAAAAAATCTTAAACTAGTATAAATTTTGCACAAAATTAAGTAAAAAAAAAAAAAATTGAAATTTTCTATTTTTAATGGTATAGGACCACCTTAACTAACATTACTTAATTTTTATTTCACAAAAATATACATAAGAAACTATATTTCTTCATTGCCGTCAACATTTTCTTCCACGTCGCCAATGTCTAAAATGTATACATTAATGACATTTAAATGACTTTAAAAGATATGTAGAATTCTGAATCTATTTTTATGAAATATTATATATATATATATATATGTATATATATATATATATATATATATATATATATATATATATATATATATATATATAATTATATATATATACACATACAGTATCGGGCAAAACCAGTGCAACCAAATGATGCTAATTTAGTTTCTTTCTATAAAAGGGATGCATTTTTTCAATTTAGAGAAATAACTATGTAACTGTTTAGAGACAACGTTCTTCAAATTTTATTCATCACAAAGTTCATTATTTGTACACGAAAATTAATAAATTAATCAAAAGAATTAAAAAAAAGTTGATTTCCTTCTGGACAAAACAAGTGCAACTCCACAAAATGTTGACCAAGCTATATTTTGCTATCAATATTTTGTGGTGAATCCTTTGTTGTTGATCACAGCCTTGCATCTTTAAAGCATAGATTCGATCAGGTGATCAATCGAACTTTGTGGAATCGCTGCCTAGGCCTTTTGGATTTGTTCAAACAGTTGATCCTTATTACGAACACATTCATGATTAACTCTGCGGTTAACGATCTCCCACAGGTTCTCGAAAGGGTTGAGATCCGGAGATTGAGGCGGCCAATCCACCAATAGATGGTTGTCTTGAAACCACTGCTTGACTACTTTTGCAGTGTGTTTGGGATCGTTGTCTTGCTGAAAAACCTATTTTATTGGTATATTAAAAAACTTCCCTGACGTTGACACGGACCAGACTTGAGAAAATGAAACAAACCGAAAAAGTTGCACTTGTTTTGTATGCTGCAAAATGGCACTTGTCAACAAAATTCTGCCTGTGTGCTGTCACCTGTAAGCTGATTGCTCACATCATGGCATGCTATGACTCCAGATTCATGATATATATATATATATATATATATATATATATATATATATATATATATATATATATATATAATATATATATATATATATATATATATATATATATATATATATATACATATATATATATATATATATATATATATATATATATATATATATATATATATATATATATATATATATATATATATATATATATATATATGTGTGTGTGTGTGTGTGTGTGTGTATATTCAAGAAGATTTGTATCTCAACCAGATACAATAATAAACAACAATTTTTTTATGAAAAAACTAAAGGAACTTGTATTATGGATACAAAAATTCTAGCATGACACAAAAAAGTCGAAGAATATCTTTTTAATACAGATATCAGTTTTGTAAATACTATTAAAACTATACCTCGTAAAACACTCCGTATATTTACTATATTTTCTAAGCTTATCTTTTCCCCATTTCCTTTTCAATTAAATTTGGACTGTAACTGATTCGAAAATAACCTGATAAATATTTTAACAATAAACTGAAATATATTTATAAAGATTTTTATTTTAATATATGTAATATATTAAAATATGTTTTAATATATGAATGCTTAAAATTATGAAAAGTAAAAACATTAAATTTTAAAGTAAAATGCTAAACAAGGTTTAGCATTACACTTACTTTAGCACACAAACAAACTCAAACACCTACAGTGAAGCTCCCGAGTTTATCAAATTGTCATGTTAAAAGTAAATCCATAACAAATAAGGGTGAAAATGAATTGCTTTTGGTCCCTTTTAATCATATTTCTAATAGTTAATAAAAACATAATCATTTATTTTTTCATGATCAAAAAAACATGTTCTCTTGGCTTTCCACCACCAATCTTTTTCAAACTATCAAGCTGAAGTAAATGTAATAAAAACTAGTGTAACTTAAATTTCTTTACAACATATTGAGTCTAACACAAGCTAGTTATTTTAGTTCATTTACAAATACTTTTCATTTAGGTTCTAAACTAGTAAACCAAATTTAAACAAACTTATTAAAAATTAAGATAATTAGATTATACCAAATTAGTATACTCGGTTTTATCTTTTAGTTTATTATCCAGTGTAACCACTTCGTCCACTGATTCTAGCAACTTCACCCCAGTAGCCTAAAACTTAATTTCTATAACTTCTTTTAAAAGAACTTTTAATTCTGCAAGCTCGTTGAGAACATTTTGCATTTCTACAAACAAGAATAAAAAGATTGATTAACATATTTAGCTCATAAAACCAAATAGCAAAACAATGAAATAAGAACTTTAAAATTCAAATTATGCTTGAGTAACTCAAACTAAAATTCCAAAAATACATGTAAGTTTTTTTATTATCGCAGAAGTTGCCATAATATTTTAGAAAACCTACTTTTTAAATCAGCTAAAACTTTATCCTGTAAAAGGTTACGTTATTAAAGAATTTTGTTTAACTACTAAAGATAAAATGCTACACACATGATTTATCGGATCACAATATAATAAATAATCCGTTTCTATTCTTTTATACCTATCTTTTTTTGTATTAAAATAATACAATTATTTTAATACAAAAACAAATTAATAAAAAAGACATCCACATTAACATTCAGTGGTGTAAAAACTAAAAATACTCATATTAAAACTTGAAACTTTTTGACAATGTGAACTTTGTTTTGTTTTATTCTGTTCATCAATAAAATGTGAAGAAAAATTATCTTCTTCAATCTTTGAATCTGAAAACAACTCTATTCAAAAGAAATAATTATAATTAGAACTATAAACAATCCCTCAACCATACCTGTTACTTTATTTAATCTTTCAACCAATTTTGTACTCTTTCAATTTCTGAATTTAAACAATTTCAGCATGCTTTCAATCAATTTTCAATTTTCATATCAAGTTGATTAAAGGATTATTTAATAAAATAGAATTTTGTCAATCATATAAATATATGTAACCAATTTAACAAACTTACAAATAACAGGACACCCAAATAGTTAAAATAAAAGGAAAATCTTAGTAATACATAAAAAAGACTAATAGCTAGATAGATATTATTCAGATCAAATTAAACAAGAATCTATTTCAGTTTATAAACTATAATATAATATTTGTGTTATACTTTTAGCATTAGGCTTATTCATAATAGGTGGCGGAGGTTCTGGCAATGAAGAGCGGTATGATTTGTTATTCTTATTTTTAATGCTTTCTTTAACATATATTTCATCTGATGTAGAAGGTTGTATTCTTCACAACATGAAAATAAATCTAATTATAAAACATTTTGCTACAAAAAAGTAATTAAGTTACCTTTAAAAAAAACACAAAACAAGTTAGATACTGACTATCTGTTATCTTACACTTTATCAATGGAAATTTGTGCCATTCTTTTTTTGACAAAAAGTTGTTTTTCAGTGCATGATTAAAGTTTTTTTTTCGGACAATAAATTTGTTGCTATTCTTTGTCAATCCACTTGCTTAGTGCATGATTACCTGGTTAGAAAAACATGCAGAAAAACTTTCCTTTAAAGTTGGGTTATGCTTATACTCATTAGGCTTTTGGTCATAAGAGTACTCATTATACAAAATCGATGACTCATAATGGTCAAAATATTCTTTTGGATTTTCGCAAGATAAGAAATCATTTCTTTTAGAAGTTCCAACATTCGATTTTTTTTTCTATATGTACTGATGAAAATTCTAGTATTTTTTAATATTCTTTTTGGACACGTCTACTGCGTCTCTTTTCGTATGCCCTTTTTGTAAAAGACATAAATGAATCTTGGTTCCTCGATAAAAACGATAAGTGCACAACCATTATATATATATATATATATATATATATATATATATATATATATATATATATATATATATATATATATATATATATATATATATATATATATATATATATATATATATATATATATATATATATATATATATATATATATATATATATATATGTATATATATATATATACATATACATATATATATATATATATATATATATATATATATATATATATATATATTTATATATATATATATATATATATATATATATATATATATATATATATATATATATATATATATATATATATATATATATATATATATATATATGCATATATTTTAATTACATTATCTTTTATTCTAGAAATAAAATTATCAACTTGGAAATATTAATTTTGTATTATTTCTGCAAAATAAATTTAAAACCACAAGGATTTTAGCAAACATGCTAAGCATCAAATCATCGAAATATTTTGTGAACTATAATAGCTAATATAATAAAATAAATGTTAATTTATTATTAAAAATTTATCATAAAGAAATAATCATTGATGTCTTCCATAGGTTAAAATCTTCATGCTTTTTTCGAAATAAGTTTCCGCAGGGTTTTTAAATGGCGGTCATTTATAATTATTGCTCCGTAAAATTAATTAAAATTTTTTTCTTGTTTTCATAACAAATCTATAAAAGACTTCTTATAGACATCCAAGTTTAGATGAAAAAAAAATTATCTATACACGATCTATTTTATGCATCTAATATGCATCTAAAACAGAGCAAAAATAGTATCTCTAGAATCAGACGTCTTTTTGATCTCTAATATACGTCTAAAATATACGTATTGGCAATAGATACAAATTAGACCAATTTTAGACGGTCTAAAAGACGTCTATTGTTTGCTGGGTATTATAGACTTCAAAACGCCGTTTGACGAAGGTGCTCGTTTGTGCTCGGTTTCGGAAGTCGCAAGTGCGACTTCCGAAACCGCTACTTTCGTATGTTGCAAAATAGTTTTTTTTTATATGTCAATTTGCTAAATTTCGGAAGTAGTATTTGCGAAATGAACATCGGCAATTTTGAATGTTTGGTACGAAAAAAATGTAATTCCTCGTTCTCAATCTCCTTACGAAAGAATGTTATTTTTCCGAAATTGTACGAAATCCTCCGGATTACAACTTTACTTTAATTATACATTTCTTCTCAATCGTACTCAATTGAGGTAGAAAAACAAAACATAAATTTTTCTTCAGATTTTTCCAAGATTCAGTTTCCAATGATTGTTAACAGTTTTAAGCTATACAAGCGAGACTAGATTTTAACCACATTGTTGGTGTAAATACCTCTAAAACCTGCTCATAGAAAGCGTAAGTTTAAACTTAACTTTTTTAAATTAATTATTGTCAAATTTTTCAGCAAGTTTTCCCCCTTTATCTACTGGCATCCATTATAAATGACCTCATAGCTTAAATATTAAAAAATATATATTTTACTTTTATTTTAAATTATACACCTTTTAAAAATTTTACAAAGCTTACAATAATTTAGTTAAGATTTAATATGAGTTATTACAATGTAATAAATTTAACATGTTAAGAAATTAACTATACCCCCTAAATTTGGGGAAAATATATAAAAAAATGAGCCTCAAAGAGTTCGAGCGCTATCGGATTACTTTTGAACTCCCCTCAAGCCTATAAGTTATGGGAAAAATGACCAAAAACTGGTCATTTTTGGGCATCTTGAGGGAGCGATAATTTTTTTTTTCACAAACTATATATAGACCTATATTTTAGTTTAAAAATATATGGGTTTTTTGTTACACCTCAAAAACCTTTGTTTTTCATATATATATATATGCATTGAATAAATTAATAAGCCCTGTGTGTATCTATAAAAACACAGACCCCTATGCTTGTCTATAGGTCAATAGGTATGATGGTATCCATCATACCTATAGACCGTTCTGAATGGTTATTTACAAAAACTAAAGTTTAAGCATATTTTAGAAAATTTTTGAAGCATGACTGAGTATGCCAATAGTTTGGTGGAAGTGAGAGCCAGTCTTTAACTCGTTGTTTATCAAGCTCAATCGTGCCAAAAATCAGGTAAGTAAAATTGTTAACTAAGACAAAGATGGTGGTTTCTTACCAATATTTGTATCCATTTTATAAATTTCCTTGATATCAACTTTAACTTTGTTCTCAGGCTTATAGTTGCCAGAGTTAGACATGTCAAATGACAGAATTGCTGATGCAATATTTACCTTCTCCTCTAATGCTAACTCATCATCTAGAAAAGCTAGATTATGGTTGTTAAATCTAAATACCAACAAGGTTTAAACTGAGACTAATAAAGCATCAACAGCTTTTGGGTTTGTACTTGCAATCTTGTACAGATGCATTTGATGTATGGCCATAAGATCTAGAAACGGAGCTTAAATGACATCCTCAGATTGTAGATACCATTTTTAGATTTTTTAGATTTGAGAATTTACTTTTTTTGACTACCTGATGAGCAAAAATGTATTAAACCAAAAAAAGTGAACATCTATCAGTTTAGTCAATTAAGAATTATGTTGAAATTTGTTTTGCATTGAAACTCTATTTTAACTCTAGTTCAAGAGTTTTTTATTAAATTGTTATTTATTTATTTCCTACTATAAATAAACGTAAAAACTTCCAAGGGTATTAAAGGGTAAATAATATGTTACTAATAATTAAAATATATAGGTTGACAATTCTCAAACCTAAATTTAAAAAATTAAATCCGAAAACTAATTTATGATTTTAGATTGTTCTAAAATGTCCTAAAATTCTCTTTAATTTGTCTTAAAAAGTCATAAAAAACTTGTAAAAAATTGCCTAAAAATCATAAGAATTTACCCTGTTTTAGGAGTGGAAGACCTGCATGATATTTGTATATTAATATTATTATTAACTAGCTGAGATCGGACCCGTAACTTTTTTAAATCTTTCTTATATATTTATAGCTAAAAAGTAATAAAATAGCAAAAAAGATTTCTAAAATTTAAATTAAATTTAAAATTTTCTCATTTTATAGATATATCATACGCGATTATTTCATACCAGCTGAGATCGGACCAGTAAAAATACGGGTCTTTGAAAATCTATTCCAAACCAAACTTTTCTATACTTTTTCCTTATATGTCCTAAATTTCCGGATCCGTAAAATACGAGTCTTCACCAATTTATATATCTATTCCTCACTGATTATTTCTATACCTATTTCTTGTTTACTTCAATATTTTTTAGTTAAAATAATTTATTCTGAAAAAAAACTTTAGGAGCAAAAAACTTAACATCTTTTTCGCATACGCAGAGCTTATAAGAGTCTTATAATTAGGTTTGTTTTTCTGCTAAATGCATTT